TTGAGAGGAGACTGCGAGGCAGGAATGCATGACTGTACTTGTGTTAGTGAATGGACCTCATTTTCTTTATTACACAGCTGAGTGTGATGCACAGCAGACGCAGCGAACCCCATGGCCACGAGGACCTGCTATTCATTGGTGGAAACTGGCAACCTAAGCCCCAGCAGGACTTGGAGTGGTGAACCACATAAGGCTCCGATAGGTTAGGCGTGGTATTGAACCGCACGACAGCAAAGCTGCCTACCACCAAAGTCGGGTGGCGGTAGCGGGGCTCGAACCTCAGATCATAGGGTCCAAAGCACACCGGTGACAGCGACTACACCACTGCGCCACCACCACTCTAATGTCATAATCTCATAAGAAACACATGACCATGATCAGCTAAAGGATTACCCCAAATACGACCAGTTTAACAACTATATCGCCCTGGTGACTGAAAAAAGCCGGTCACGGTGAGCGGGGGTCTGATCCTTACCGCATCCGCTCCAACGTTCGCATGCGACTGCCCGCAGTGGGTGTCGTGTGTCCGGTATCCAGGGCACTAGACGACTCGGGAATGAGTGAGGTAAACGAGAGCCGAAGCAGCTGAAAATGTTCCGCCGTAGGATTGGGACAATTCGAGAGCAGTTTGGTTAGTCCGACTGGTTTGATACTGGCCGAAGTCTGTCTGGGCACATTATACGGATGTTCGGGCAGAGCCCAAGCTGGTTTTGTGTCTGAGACAAGGCTATGGGGGTTGTACGATTGAAAATTTAAAAAAAAACAGGTCAAGAGATGCCGCGATTGAACAATACTCATATACTACAGGGTGGGATCAACTAAGAGAACCATTTTTTGTACCATATTTCTCAAACTGTGCGCTGAACAAGACAGTACGATAATTATTAGAACAAAAGAAAAGTCCTATAATTTGCCCGTGAGCGCTATACTGCTAGGTTGTTCAGGTCAATCAAAGCAGGTGAATTTTCTTCGAGGACTTCAAAGCCACAGTCTTTGACTGGTCAAATTGCGATCCACAAGGTAGTGAAGTGGTGTCTGAAAACGGCAATGTATTGGGGGCCGGTGTCCAGTTCATCGGATAATACGCTCTTCGGACAACGACAAACGTTCAAGAGGCCCAAACGAGCCGGTGACTACTGAAACTTCAAGGAAGGTGTGTGGTTTGTGGTATGTTTCATCCCGGGTCTTTTAGCCAACTGCATTTGGTGAACTGCCCGTGGTTCACCGACCGGATGTTAGTCCTTTGTCTTCTTAAGTTGAGTGCAAAAAAACTACGCCAAGGGAAGACAGTGGCGGGACAACGAGCTAACTAACATGACTTTCGATCTAAAATACCTTGAAATAGAAAGAAAACCTAAGAGGCATTCGAAAATGAATGGATTCAAGAAGGCGATTGCTAAGGGAACGGGAAACAGTTTCGATTACCAATAACCGGACAAAAAAATGCTTTAGTCCTTCGCCCAATTGTTATTTTTCTAATCCATATTGAAAAGGATATGGGAGAAACAGAATAATGGACTTTAATGCGCCCGATCCCAGTCATTTTTATCGATCAACGGATAGAAAAAACAATTTTTCTTCTTCAGACGAAACCATATTTTGTGTTCCACTTACCATGGACTTTGCAGTTCCTCCAGTGTCCGTTTCTGAGGCCTCCCAAACAACCTGAACAGTATAATCGGGTCAAAACAAGATGGAGAGTGGGGCGAATGGATTAAGTGTGAATAGCATCATTTTAATTGTGGAAGCGATCATCAACACACAAGCATAGGAAACCGAAACCGAATGGAGAGAGAGAGAGCGATTAAACGCATTGTCATTCAATGAACAAGGAATTTACGGGAGCACACCGCGCCATCAAATCTGACAAACTCGTGTTGTTGTTGCTCGCTGAGAGATTATCGATAGCTCACGCACACATACACAAACAACCAGAGCCGAATGAACGACCATTGTGCAACCACCACTCACAGCTTCTGCCAAAAGGGTGAAGATCAGGACGGTCATCCGTACCGCGATTTCACCCGCTCCCCCAAGCGTGATAAGATCATCCATAATCTTGACGAACAGACTGTCTAATCAGTAAACCAATCCCGAATCAACAACTGGCTAATCCAACGGTAGATTCTACAAACGGTTAATCGATTGACTGGTCAACTACTGATGAGAGTTAGTCAAAAGATGAACGGACAGATTCCATCAACTAACAACAAAAATATCCGTTATGTCTCATAACTGGTGCTGTCTAGTTAGAATGACATCTC